AAAAAAAGAAAAAAGAAAAAAAAGAACACCACCCTAAATCTCCTATTAAACAAGAGCAAAAACAGACTGAATGATACAATAGAAATGACTACACACTTACAGGTGTCCTGAAGCAATAGAGAATATGTTAATTGTCTTTCCATGTCGTCCACCCTTCCCCTGCTTGTAAGTGAGGGAGAAAGCATCAGTAAACCACTTGATGCAGATAAAGAAAGAATATCTATATTATCTATGATATTAATTATCAAAATTTAGGAATTAATTTGAGATACAATGAAATCTAGTAGGTTTAATATATATTTATTAGGATTTATATCTTCTGATAAAGATTCCTATTAGGAGTCTAATTAGGGATTTGTCTAATTAGGGTTTTAGCTTTTTCTATATAAGTGTTAGTTTGTACTAGGGTTATTCAGTTGAATAAGAATTGAGTTCAGTCGTCCAAAAATCCCTAATTCTACAGCTCTCTTCTCACCCTTGATTCTGTTTCTATCTTCTCTACTCACCTTTGCTTCTATCTATCCTTGTCCAACATCACCAATTGCTAGAGAATGATGCTAAAACAGAAATGTCAAACTTATATATTAACAGATAGAAGCTTATCAATCATGATATAGGAGTAGCTCATAGCAAAAATAGAACAGGGGGGAGAAAAAACTATTGAAATATATTGCTTATAGGCCCCCCAAAAGAGGAGATTAAGCAAACTAGCAAAATAAAGTATCAAATATCTTTGCACAAACTATGGATAGTTGAGGAGAGAAAACAGCTAAAAAGGAAAAGGATTTACAAATGTTTTCTCCATTTCACAGAGACTTGAATGCACCACAATTCATTATTTCAATTTAATTGTTGATTCTTTTACATTGAATTCATGTAAAACAGATCTGCAAGTTTACATATGACTTATGTAACATATAAGTTCATAGTTCATAGTTAATAGAAATTGTGAACAAATTAAAAATAAAACTCCCACCAATGAGCTTTCATCTATTAAAAGAAAAGATAGACATAGGGAAAAAAAGCATAAAAGTAAAGGAAGAGAAAGGAAAGAGGAGAACTCACCACCAAAGTGTTCTTCTGCTTTTCTGTTTGCTCACCACCACCAATGAAACCAGAAGCCCACTTGAGAAGGTTTGAGTTCCAGCTACCCTGTCCCTGTTGGGAGGAATAAGCAAAAAGGCACTTTTTAAGGCTACAAATCCACAACCAGTTCTTAAACATGCATGCTTAAATGAGTTCTGCACAAAATATTTTAGCCTGCAATAACTGCACTCACTCTTGCTTTTCCTTGCGAATGGTTGTCATCATCGGCTGAAACCAGCAATTTTTCATGCTCCTTGCCCTTCTTCTTTATCACCTCCAGATGAACTACTTTACCCCGCAAATCATTTATAGTAATGCGTTTTGACAAAGACTTGCTCTGAGATCCATTACCATCTTCATTTAGAACATATAGCTCAGAACTTCTACCAGGAGCAAGTTGTAAGTACCAAACACCAGGAGAGACTTTCATTTGCCAATAGCCTAAGTTGGCCATCACACTAGTATCAACCAAGTGAGGTGTGGTCTTAGTTCCAAGAATTAATTGTAGGCCTCTAGGGGGTTCATGATCTTTCTCGGAACAATGACCTAAGCAAAGATGCCAATGAAAATTTTATTAGAATGACAGATACCACTCCAAATTCTCCCTTAAGTTACCAAATTTAGGTATCCTTAAAGTAAGACAAGCTCACCAGTAAGAACAAGAGCTTCAAGTTCAAAAACTGCTTGTAATGTCTTTGTGTCACCAAGGTTCTCAAGCAAAATGTTATCGAGGTCATGCCTGGAAATATATATATCCAAAAAAAATTTAATGAAGATAAAAGATGATTGTTTGTGGAACTGACTTAAACTCTTCTAAATTGTCAGGAATTGAAGAAAGCAGGACAGGGGTACTCTAGCTAACTGAAGGTTAAACAGAAAGGGGGTCAGTATGTTATATAGAGGAAGAAGCATACACAGCAATGACTGGCTCAACAAGCCATGGCTCAGGAACATCCAGATTCATGGTGAGAGTTTTGGAAAGTGGCATATTTGCAAAAAATGCTTTGGGACCATTTACTGTGTAATCAATACCACTAAAATCATCCTGCAAAGCCATGGCACCTTTTAGCACAATATTAATGGGAACTCAAATCTAAGGTTTCCAGTGGAGGATGCAAACCATGGTTGGGACAACGTATCTGTAATAATTCTTTAGAGGAAGATCAACAAGGGAACTCTGCCACAAAAGAAAAAACAGATTACTTAATCTCTTATAAAACAGAAAGAATTAAAAATTAATAACTCTAACATATTTCAACAAGTCTAAAGCTAAAAACATTATGGCTTTATGGGATATACTTGAAAAAGAAAACTGCCTAACCTACATTAAAAGCTATCATTTTGGAATAATGTCCTTTCTCAAATATCCATACCCTAAAAACTCCTTTTCATTTGAAATAAAAAGGCAGTAACAATAATAACCACCACTATAGTTTACTTCTGATTATAATACATCTTCCCCTAGACACAATAAAAAAGCCCAAGGTCAAGCACCATGCCACATTCTACCATTGGCATAAAGAGCAAAGCACTCCAGATTATACTATCCATTCCCAAATATAGATATATTATATATTACTAAATATTGACTCACCATTGGATTTAAGACAATCCGCATGCTTGGCTGAACATACTTTGCCAACACTCGAAGAAGTGAGGATAGTTTCTGGCCAGCTGGGCTTAAAGGATCAATAACCACATCGATATGCACACTAGAATTCTCATTATTTATAACAACAGCACTGTAGAACATTTAAAAAAAAAAAAAAAGAGAAAGGAGGTCAGTCCTTTTAGACAGACATCTAAGATATTCAGAGTTATTAATCATAAATCAATAACATAAACATGAGTAATTCACAGCACATGAGAATAAACACCAGAAAAGAGGCAAGGGGGCAAATTGAGAAATAAAAAACACAAAATTAATATGTTTTAAATTATATATACCTTAAAAGGACACATCAGCAGCTTTCAAAGGGTAAGAGGTTTAATTAGACCTTATTACATTTATTTCCTACTTGGGAGGAACAACCTTGTTTGCAAGGGTATAATGTAATGCATATTTAAAGCACAACATGTATTCAAACATTAATGTAGAACAGTTAGAGCAGCAAAAAGTGGTTGGCAAACTGCAGCAGAATAAGAAGCCCTTACCTATATTCTGCATTCAAAATCTCAAAACGAGCACTTTCAGAACTTCGATCTCGCATAGCCATTGAAGATGACACGAACATAATAGTATCACTAACAAATTCACTGAAATAAGGATATCAAAAAGAATCAGCATAAACAGTATGTTGGTTACAACATGGCATCAGTAAATAACAAATTGAAGTTCAAAAATAACATGAAAAATCTATCTGCAATTTAAAATGAATATAATTAGCCAAACATTCATTAGCTTCCACAGGCAGTAATGAGCAAATATAACATGTAGGACTAAAAATTAAAAAAATAAATTAAGATTGAATTACCAATCCCCCAAACATTTATACATGCTACATATGCAAACACAACAAGGATGCCAAAGAAAGGAATGGGAATCACTTGAGTAAGATAACCAGCAACAAGGAGCTTAACAACAACAAACCTTGTAATTTTGTCAGGATCTTGTTCTTGCCAATTAATTTCCGCAATAAAATCCACAATATGCTTTATTCTGTACTTGAACTCAACTGTCTCCAGAAGATGCAAATCATGGCTCATAAATGTCCCTTGATCAGTAAGGTATGTTACCTAAGTACAAAAATATCATGTTAAGATCAATGTAATCACATCAGGTTCACAAGCACCAAAGAAATGTCATATTGTGCAAACAGGAAGCTAGAAATGAATCCAATAGATCCAGCAGTCCAGCTTCTTAATATTAGAAAATTCTAAAAGAACAAAAACACACCCTCCCATTAGTGATGACCGCATTAGCGCCAGACTCAATCCCAAGTCTACACAAAAATTTTGGCACCTGCATAATATTGTAAATTAAATGTATTAACATCTTTAAAAGGTGAAAACTAGAAATGTAAATTGAGAAGGCACAGAGTTAAATTTCTTAAAAAATGAAAAAAACAAAGAGGAAATAAAGAATCAGGCAAAGATAACAGAGAGCCTTACAAAGGGTAAGGAATTAATTACTTGCTAGTACAAACCTTATTCAAATATGTTGTCAATTTCTCATCAGACAATTCTGGAAGAGACACTTTGTAGGCCTTTGATGACAACTCATGTGTCTCAGCAAGCTCACAGACTTTATCAATGAAAGCTTGAGTGCTTTCAGCTCTTGTGGAAGATTGGGGAATGTAATTAAGCTCATAAAATGAGCATAGTTGATCCAAAAAGTCTAAGACTTTCTTCTTATGACTACATCAGGCAATAAATGCAAGCAATCGTTACTTTTGACTTTAAACAGCATATTAAAAACTTTGTTGAGATTAAGCCCATATAACATTATAACTCTCAATTAACAAACCTAAATGAGCTTGCAGTGATCTCAAATGTCTTGACAAAGAGGAGACTGATTAAATCAGAATTCTCACTAGCAGTAAATAAGACACCAACACGACCAACCTTAGACCCTTGAATCTGACACAACACAACAAAGAGAGCATACCATAAACATCAGTGACAATTATGACAATGAAAGCAATAGAAAAGATATAATGGCCAAAAAAAAAGGAAGTGAAAAGATACATTCACTAGTTCAAGAATTAAAGTGAAAAATGCAGCTTAATAATAAAGATTAACCAGGTAATGAATTCCTTCATGAAGTAACTTCATCCCTTTCTTTGATGTGACATCAACGGCAAGAAGATGAGTAACTGGCTTCAAATCATCAACAGCTAGAATTGTTTGACCAAAATAGCATGTCAGAATAAAAGACCTAAGAAATTAGTAAAGTTGGTAGTTCCAATATGAATAACACTTACTTCCAGGAGAATGCAAGTAGTTAACATCATTAAGCAGAGATTCCCCATCAAGGACAGATGAAGCCAGAGATACAAACCTTGGCTTGACCTTGCCATCACCAATTATCTACATTCACCTCATATTTGCCATCAACAAAATTACAGCCCAGAAAGAATATCTCATTTCTGTGGATGTCATTTTTCAAAGGGAATATAAGAAATGCTTTACCTGTGGATTATAGCGACTAACACCACCTTCTGATAGGAATTTGTCCAGTATGTCAGTGTTAGAATTTATATGCCCAAAGTAAACTTGTTCTTGTATTCTGGAAAGCTCATCATTCATGGCATTTACAAGTGCCTCCTGACAAAGTAAATCCAAAAAATTTTATATAGTTGGAATAAAGTTTACCCAAAGGTCAGTCAGAATTCCTCCAACATGGTGGTAAATGGTGAGGAAACTGGAAACAGCCCAAAAGCACATAAATCAGATAAAGCCAGTCAACATAGGAACTAATTATAAAATCTAAATATAAAAGAAACTAGCAACATCATAAGTATCTCGCAACAAAAAAAATTATGGATTTAACACAATACAAAATAAGTGCCACAAAATGTATTCAGAAGTTTTCATGCTCCCTATGGAAACAACACAAACAAAGCAATCAAGTCAAATCTTTTAGGAAAAGATTTGGCATGTCATGATTATATAAATTCAGCATACAAAATTCATTACCTCGGTAGAATCAAAGACCAGACCATTCATCAAGAGACTACACTGCAGCTTGGCCAAACCCAACTTGAAAACAAACATGGAGCTCTCTTGAGACAGTTCCTTAAAGGTTTGCTCCTTTTCCAGCTTGAGTAAGATATCTTGTGGTGGGGACTTCACTTTTGACCTACAGAATCAGATTGGTCATTTTGGATTGATAACAAATTCATTTTTTCTAAAATGTTATGCAGAGTGGAAAAATTGGGAAACATCATCAGCACATGAACCTATAGCAAATCAACTATGAGGTCCTCTGACACTTACAATAATGTATCAACAAAAGCTCCTTCAATATGATGCATTTCAAGAGCATCATCTGATTGCTCATCTGATTCCATCCGTAACCTATTAATCTGACAATAACACAAAACAATTGTTTTCAGATATGTTGACTTAATAGGAAAGACTGCCCAACTGAATTGATGTAACCAATGTGGATGAAAGGTATAACCATGCAAAACATAGAACCAAGCAGAGAGTTTCATACAGTCATAACATTTTTTTGAGTTCATGAATAATTTTCAGAATTTTCCTGATTTATAGTATAAGTTCTCTACCATCCCCTACCCTCCCTTTCTTTCCATGCTCCCCTCTTTCCACTAAAATGTCCTGATACCCAGTATTACTGGTCTCATTCATTGATAACCATCAACTAAACCTTCAAAAGCTTCCTTGTTAGATAATGCATCATCCAATTTCCAGGATTAACCAACACATCAATTGAAGTATGATAAGATACCAATGGATGTGAGAAGCCCTTCTCCTCTCCAACCCAATTGTAAAAAGCCAAAAGCTAACCCAGGTCAGTTTTGAAACTTCTATTAATATTGCTGCAGACACAAAATTGGAACCCACTTCCTTCCTCTTTGATAAAATGAGTTTTGGACTTAAGAGAAGATAAATATGAAAGCAACATACAAATACAGTCACTTGGAAACACATGAACTGAAAAGTCATAGACTTCAGAACACCTTAATGCACAAATGCTAAAAAAGAAGATTAAAATACTGAATACATACATTGCTCAAAAACTCAAATGCTGTTTGAGTCCCATGGTTTTCCTTGATATAAATGAAAAGTCGTATAATCTGCAAAAGAAAGTATAGGCAGCAACATTCACCAAAGCTAAAAAAGCCAAAGATGAAAAAAAATGAAGACAATACTGCTCACTGCTGTTTAGAAAAGGGAAAATAAAATCTGAAAATACATTAATTTAAACTGAAAAAAAGGCAGTACCAAAGTCGATTTATCCCCAATTTGACTGTCATCCTCAAAAGCAGATGAAAGAAGTTCACCACCACTCATTTCTATCTTCTTTATGAATTTTGTCGAATATAGAATAACCCCAAATCTCACAGGAAAACTATTCTCATAGAAGGATTTAATCATATCCAAGGACTGCAAGATACCAACACAAAATCATATTGAAGAAATTATGCGAGTAAGGCAATGCAGAGCAACTAGATCAAATAATCAGGATGGCAAAATAACACGTGCCTCAAGACCACATATGGTGGCTGGATCAAGAATATAAACTGCATGGTACAGGTTTTTACGGATGTAACGTAGTTGGCCAGGAAAGACAGGCATCAAAATCTGCAGAAAATATCATATGCAGTTATGATTCCCAGGGAATCTTGCCAGTGTAATACAGTAATACCATCTCTATCTTCAAAATATGCATAAACTGAAAAGTTAAATCACCTCATTGATATTGGTTCGCCAACGCCTATACATAGCATCCTCCTCCAAGTTATTGAGATAATGAACATAATCAGAACGAAAATCAACTCGGAACATGTCTGACTCAGGAGGAGTCAAAGTTGATAAGAGACTAGTTATAGTATCACGAGGAATCTGAAAACAGCATATATTGTGTTAGAATAGAAGTTAACCACTTGCCTGATGCAGGCTAAGAAATAAAAATTCACAATACACGCAAGAAATGACCAATAAGAAGCTTAAATACACCATCTGTACACACACATACATAAAGGAGTCTGTGCTAAAGGTATGAGAAAGCCATCTACAATACCACTTAGAATAGAATTTAGCATTGAAGAGAGTTATTACTCTTTTACCAATGACATGCTGACAGGGTAATATATGATGTAAACATATAAATAATAGAATTACTCTAACTTGCGTACATGGCACATGCAAAATTTTCATCCTACTCAAAATTGAATGTATAATGATTTCGACTGACATCCAAAAGATAGTCCTTACAAATGAAACAAGCGTGGTCTTTGTAGCACATCTAAGGACTCAAAGTAAATATGTTAACACACCAATGCCTAGCATTGTAATGATTAAATGACTTATTTGCCACTGTAACCTGTGTTTGTATCAAAAAGTCAACTGTCTGTCAGCATACATTTTTTGTTGTTGTCTGGAAGACACATAAAAGAAGCATCTCATTTTTAACTACAACATGAAGGATGAAATGCTAGGTGTAAATCATTTTCCTAATCTAAAGTTCCTAATCATAATAAGGGGGTCATTAGTATTATGGAGAAAAACCTGTACAACCTCAGTTTTGCATGTCATAATTACTGGTCTAGCAAATGAAAATGGAACTTAGAGTCATTCACCTTCAACTTTGAAAACTGATCTGCCAAAGATAACTCCTGATGTACCAAGTCAATCAACCTATTAAACAAACAAGACAATCTTAATACCAAAAGTAAGGCATGTCAACTCTTAACATGAACACAACAATAAATCTCAAAAACAGATAATTATAAACAAAGTCATGACATGAAATATGATAACCAGGAAATAAAGCTCCACAGGGTGTAGACAGTTCAACCATGACAAATTAATACAAATGTGGTATCTATGGCTTAAATCCTTAACAACAACAATAATGAGGCAGCATAAGCTATTTCAGCATAGGCATTTTATAGAATGTATCAGAAGAATACTAATACTCATCAGGATTTTCTTGGTGAAAAATTTTATTGCACTCAAGCCAAATTCCAGTAGTATAGGGCAAGCAGACTAACTTCTTAACTTCTGAATATTCATCTCCATATGATTAGCCAGAAATTCTATTCTAAGAGAGCCCCACATCATCAGAAAAGATAGATTATAAAATAAGGACCTACAAAGCCACTCCATCCAGGTAATTAATAATTGGAGAAGAACCTGAGAGCCTTATGAAAATATATGCAATTGGTTCAAAATTCAGATTTAAGTTCAAATTTGAAATATAATCATTGGAAAATAACAAAAGCCTAAAATAAAAATCAGTTTCCATGAAAAGAAATAAGGAATAACTACAACAAGAATGTTGAAGGATAAGTGCAGAAATGATAAGTATTTAAAAAATAAATAAATAAATAAGAAAAAGACCTGCATAATTAGAGATTCTAGCAAAGAACAAAGGGAAATCAGGGGAAAAAATTACATATAAAGGTCAATTTCTTCGATATTGATCAAAGCACGATTAAGTGCCATTAAGGACTTGCCGGCAGGGATCATCCTCTGGTTTGCAACTATTTCATCTTTGATTGAATCATTAAGCTGAACAATGTACAAATTTTTCAGATTAATTAGAAGACCAACATTGGAGCCAATACTCCTAACATTAAAACTATCTGATGGTTATTTGAAACCTATGTATCTACAACAAAAGGAGTTACCTTCATGCGAGATAATGAAGAAACTACACTGGGAAAGTTTTGGTTGATTTCTTGCATTGATTGTAATGGATCAGACGCATGTACTATTCTCTGAGCAGTTTGATGCCCTAAATCTATTAAAACAAAAAGTAAAAAGAGAGAAAAAATTATTAGACAATTAGAAGATTGCAAGGAATAAAAACAGAGAATCATTGACCAGTAGATACCCTTTAGCTCCCAAACATCCAATGTATCAGATATTGTTGATGACAGAAGATAATCTCTAAAGGCCATTATCTCAGAAGTAAGCTCTGGTTTGCGTTCCTATAAATGGATAAATAAAAGATTCCAGTTTAGCTCAATGGTGTGCAAACGGAAATTTCTAGTTTAGGAATCATTAGAAGAACACTCTGGAAAAGATTTTCAGGTAGTTGTTGTTTTGATTCATATCCAAGGTATGTATATGTGGACCTTGAAGATGTCTTAACTTGTAACAAGTGGAAACAATCAGAACACAAATATTATTGGCTTCTAAGGATAACTGACCAGTATTTTAGAGAAAATGAATCCTCTAACTTCTTGGCTAAGATCTTCAGTCCGAGGGTCTTCTAGGGTTAGACCTGAAACTCAAACCTCAAACCCTTAGAAAATTCGAGAAAATTATGGTAAAGTATATATATGTAAAGAAAATAAAACTATTTTGCATTCTAGAAACCAAATTACTAGCCTTTAATATTACATAAACAAGCTCAATTTAGTAACATGTGCTAACATCATTGATCTATTGGTGGCATCTCCAATAAGAGCAGCTAAAGCATTCCATGATATTATCAAAAAACAATTAAGAAAGTTCATACAGAGTTATGACCATAAAAGGCAGAAACTTAGAAAATAATTTTAAAAAATTAAAAAAAAAAAAAAAAAAAAACTGGAAGCTAATCAATGTAGAAAATAACACAGAAAAGCTGCAGGATAGACTAGTTAAGAAAATTTTGAAGAGAAATCTTTCCAATTATGTGTCCACAACACTGTAGAGGAGTCATCAACCATTAAAAAGGATAGATAACAGCAAATGCAAATGCTTCTTCTAAAAAATAGCAAAATTCCAAGCATTAAGATAAATAACAGCAAAGAACCGAAAAATTAAAAGATGAGAAAAAGCGAAGGATGCACAGAAGCATCAGACAAACTCTGGAGTCTTTGAGATAGAATGGGAAAAAAATAAATCAACTGACAGAAAATTGATCCCATGCCTGCTATAAAAAGAAAGGATAAAATACATCATGACTCAAACCCCAGCTTGACTCATAAGAATAACTTAGCTTCCAAACTTTCAGTGGTACTTCAACTAAATGGAGAACTGCATCATCAAGTATTATAACCTTTCTTTATGGCACTATCATCCATGGCTTTATATTCCATATTCTTCAGAGCAAGCTCTACGCCATAGCCACCCAAGTTTAAGGAATCTCTGATACCAACAGCTCCACACTGACCAACTTCAGCTTCGCACCCAGAAGTTAAAACTGGTCTGACAACGTACTTAACTTTTCCCTGCACATTTAGGCAAGTCATCAGCATTTATTCATGGAAAGGGTTATAATCATATCATATATTACTAAACAAAAAGGAACAAGAAGTAGGGGAAGAGTTTGAACTGTCTGCAGGGCATACTTTCAACTAGGTAGACTAGGTTATTAAATTAAGTGCATTATTGGTTATTAACTTGCATGCATTATTGGATATAAATCACGGCTGTTAAACGGTAAGAAATAGTAACATACTCAAATTCTAGCTGCATGGAACTTATGCAACAATGAATAGACATTATATTATGTTAACAGTGATGATAAACTATAAAAGCATAACCAATAGACCTCCTTGGCCGCGTTAACAAGGTTCACATGGAACTCCCTGAAGCATTCAGTTCCAAGGGCTCCATACAGAATAACAACTGGACCCGCAATACTTGAACCAAAATATACATGATCAAAATCATATAACTCAGGCTGCTGAAATGTGTCTCCACTGCTGGTAACCAAAAAGTAAAGACATATAAGTGTAAGGACAATTGTGCAATAAACAGGCAGTTATCTGTTGTAAAAATAAAAATTGATTGTGAGAATGATATAAGTAATTACAGCTTTGTCAGGCTTTGAAGCCACTGTTGCAGCTCTGCGACATCAAACAACAGTGCCCCACCAGTATCCGCCCAACAACATTTTCCACCAGGACTTTTTGGATTCATACCAACAAGAAACGGGTCTGATTTCTTTGCAGTTGTCATCTCACTTATCTCGCCCTCATTTGCATCAGTTGAGTCAGTATCATCAGCCAGTGGATAAGAAGAAAGAGACTCCTCTGCTAGTTGCCGGTAAAGCACCAATCTCGGGGATGCAGATCTTAGAGTCAAGGAGAACTCAAATAAGGATGCCAATGGTTCACTTAAAAGAGAACTACCATATTTTGAAATTTTCTTAACACAATCCTTGGCTGAGTGAGAATCAACATCCTCCTTCTCAACAAGAAGCCAAACCTCAATGAATTCCCAGAAAAGATTTTTCCGTTCTTTAGAGAGTAGTTCACTGTCCCAAGTAAAAGGAAATAAATTCAGAGAGAAATTAAAAACAATTTGGAAACTTTCTCAAGTTTTACATAAACTAAAATGTTCCAAGAACAAAATAAGCAGCCTTACTTAAAAATCACAGAAAGAATATAACAGATACTAAATAAAGAATATAATATCTGATTAAATGAAACAACAAAACCAAAATTATTCCATAAAAAGACTCTAAAAAAAGGAAAAAAAGAAAAAGAAATAACTTTCAAATCAAACGAACATACCCAGCTTCCAGAAGCAATGGTGTTCCGGACCACTTAGCCCGAACTGCAACCTGCACGTTCTTTGGCCTCCGACTTTGAGCATCAGCAGAAATGGACAGGCAAAGGATTGCACAAGCAAGAACCACAAAAACGCAGAACCCGGATCTAAAACGGGTCTTCATTCGTGCAGAGAGTCAGAGAGCACTGCGAAGCCTCCCGCAGTCTCCGATCTCGCAAACGGGCAGCCTGAAATTCCTTGGCTGGTTCAGAAGCTTGGAGTATTATCCTCACTGGGGCATTCTATTCATCCGACGACCGCCGAAATCACGAATCTCTGCTTCGGTACTGATTTTCCAGTTGAAAGTAGATCCGTTATGGGAGAAGCGAGTGAAGGATGGGGAAGCCGATGACCGGGAGAAGACTTAACGACTGGCTTAATGGTCTATGCATCATTGCACTTGCACCGAAGACTGGAGGGTATTTTGGGAAATCAAGGAAAATTTTAGAGCCTAATATTGGATTTATGTAATATATACACGTCATAATATGAGGTGGCGATCTGTTACTGGTTGACGAGTTTAAAAGGAGAATTTTTCAATTGGGTTTTTTTAAGTTAAATTCCAAATTTAGTTGTGAACTTTTCTTGGAACAATTTTAGGGGCTGTGCTTATACCCCTACACTATAACGTTAAGGTCACGTAATACAGATGTTAAAAAGTAATAATTTTATTTAAGTTAATTGTTAAAAATAGTTAATAATTAATAAAATAATTAATATTTATTATTTAATATATTAAAACATAAATAAATTTAAATAATTTGGTAATAATTCTCTTATATACTAAAAATAAGATATTTTGAATTCCATTAATATAACATAACATATAAATAAAATAAGATAAGGGATGAAAAAAGATTACTTTTTATTGTATACTTAAAATAAAAAATAAAAAATTAATATTTTTAGATATTATAATTTATTATTTTAAAAAAGACTATAAATATAAAA